CTAGCGATGGACATTACTTTGAATAAAGCACTTTTGATGTTTCTCTTGAAATTATCGTGTTTTCTTTGATTACAAAATCCAAATTATTAACCGGTACACCTGGTAATACAATCAATAATAATAATACAAGAATAAACTGTGTGTCAGGTACTCACAACTGTAAGCCTACTTTTGCCCCACCCTGTATATGGTGTCTTGGTCCATTGGGGCTGCTATAACACAATACCATGGACTGGGGCCCCACCATGTCTATGGTCAGCATGGTGCCTTAGTGCATTGGAGCTGCTATAACAGAATACCACAGACTGGGTGGTTTATAAGCAACACACATTTCTTTCTCACAGTTCTGGAGGCTGAAAGTCCAAGGTCAAGGCACTGGCAGATTCAGAGCCTTGTGAGGACCCACTTCCTGGTTCATAGCCTGTACCTTCTCAGTGTGTCCACACAGGGAAGAAGGGGCCAGGGAGCTTTCTGAGGTTTCTTTTATTTATTTTTTAAATATGTCTTTTTATTGATCTTATGGAGAGGAAAGGAGAGGGACAGAGAGAGAGAGACATGGGTGAGAGAGAATTGTGGATCGGCTGCCTCCTGCACACTCCCTACTGGGGATTGAGCCCGAAACCTGGGTATGTGCCCTGACCGGGAATCGAACTGGGGACCTCTTGGTTCATGGGTCGATGCTCAACCACCTCCCAAAGGCTCCACCTCCTAATACCTTCACCTTAAGGGTTAGGATTTCAATATATGACTCTTGGGGAGACATAAACATTCAGTCTCTAGGTGACGGTGTGTGAAAAACAGCAAGAGCGTCTGAGGAACACAGACATTGTCCTCAGAAAGAATACCTTCCCAGCACCTGCTCTGTGGCCAGCCCTGTGCCGGTTGCTATGGGAACTCAGAGGCACCCCCTACGCCACTGCCATCCTCAGTGGGATTCAGAAGGGGCTCATGGGAGCTTGAGCTGTCAGGAGGAGCTTCTGATCAGGGTAGGACCTCAGACGGAGTCTTAAATGATGCACAGGAAGAATGGAAGCAGCCCTGGCTGGTGTGGCTCAGTGGATAGAGCATCGGGCCTGCCGACCAAAGGGTCCCGGGTTCGATTCAGGTCAAGGGCGAGTACTGTGGCTGCAGGCTCCTCCCTGGCCCAGGCCCTGGTCAGGCACGTGCAGGAGGCAACTAATCGGTGTGTCTCTCTTACATCAATGTTTCTGTCTTTCCCTCTCCCTTTCACTCTCCCTAAAAATCAATGGAAGAATATCCTCATAGCCAGTGATGGCGAACCTAGGACACGCGTGTCAGAGGTGACATACGAACTCATTTTTTTGGTTGGTTTTTCTTTGTTAAATGGCATTTAAATATATAAAATAAATATCAAAAATATGTCTTTGTTTTACTATGGTTGCAAATATGAAAAAAATGTCTATATGTGACACGGCACCACCAGAGTTAAAGGGTTTTTCAAAATGCTGACACGCCGAGCTCAAAAGGTTCACCATCACTGTGACACAGCCCCAGGTGAGGATTAAAAAAGAATGGAAGCATTCAGGCCTCAGCGCTGGATACAGACACTAGCAAACTCCCTCATGTCGGGTCTGGCTTTTGAATCCGTTGCCACAGACTGCAGTAGGGGGTACTGCGGGTTGGGCTCTCTGGGAGCAGACACTAAGATGGAGTTCAGGGTGTGTGTTCATGTCCTGACGCTGCTGTCACAAGTGGCTACAGAGTGGGTGGCCTGAGGCAATAGGCATTCATCCGCTCATAGTTCTGAAGGCCAGAATCTCGGATCAGTTTCACTGGACAAAGCGAGGTGTTGGGAAGGATGGTCACTCCTCACCCTCCAGACCAGGCCAGAGGCGACTGTCTCAGATGCTCAGGCAGCCCGAGCCGCCCTCCCAGAGGCTCCTCCTGTCATCCTCACCGTCGGGGCTGCCCCGGGATAGAGCCTGGAGCAGTAGAAAAGTGAGCTCCACAGGCAACTTAGTAGGCCCTAAAATAGGGCTTTTCTTGGCCCTGTTTTTTAAAAATATATTTTTATTGATTTCAGAGAGGAAGGGAGAGGGAGAGGGAGAGAGGGAAACATCAATGATGAGAAGGAATCATGGATCGGCTGCCTCCTGCACGCCCCCTACTGGGGATCGAGTCTGCAACTCGGGCATGTGTCCTTGACCGGAATTGACTGGGACCCTTCAGTCCGCAGGCTGACGCTCTGTCCACTGAGCCAAACTGGCTAGGGCAGCCCAGTTTTAAAGGGACCAGAATGGGGTAGGCCAGGGCGAGAGTCAGAGAAGAGCATGGGCTGGTAGCCAGGGTTCTGGAACTAGCCCAGCAAATCATTCTTCCTCCCTGGGCCTCAGTTGCACTGTCCGCACTATGACGCCTGTGGAACCAGGCCTTCTAACCTATAGATAGTGATTTAGAAAAGAGGCTGAGAGGGCCCTAGGGGTGGGGAGCTGTCAGGGAGGCTGGGCAAAGGTCCAAAGAGCTCCCACTAATGTTTGAGGAGACGTGGCAAGAATATACATGGGGACCCACATCCCATGTCGATAAATATTTAAAAGGTATAAAGCAAACTAACAAATATTTGATAAAATAACCTTTTGTTGGCTGACCTTGAAAAAATATTCTTAGGTCAAGTTTGAATGAAAATTCTCACTCTTCTTCGAGTCTTACATTTGGACGTCACAGTGTGGAGAGAGCTGGCCTGGGTCCAGCTGTGGCTACAGTGAGAATGTTCTACTCACAGACCTCTTGTTCCAGAGGGTGGAACTGGTGAGGTGCCCTGCTTTGAGCTTTAAAATGCATCTTTGTGGTTGGGCTGAGGCCACGCCTCCCATGGGCTGTTCCCTGCTGCAGGGTTATAAGGGCCGCCCATTATTGGAGACTTGGGACTCATGTGATGGTTAGCTTTGGCTCAAGGACACCCTGAAAGCCCTGCTGAAGCATCCTTCCACGTGTAAAAGACAGTCAGGATACTCCCGCCCAACCTTCAGGCTCAGACTTGCAACCCGGCCTGCTTGCTCTCCTCCTTGCCTCCCACACAGGCATCTTTCTTAATAGGACCCTTGACTGTTGCATCATGTCTTGGCACTTGCTTCTCAGAGGATCTGCCCGAACACATTGGTCTCCAGCCCATGCCCCACTTCTTACCTCTGGATCCTTCCTATACTATGAGGTGCTTCACTCGCACCGGTATGGGGCCCCAGACCTGCAGTCTTCGTTTTTTTAAAAAAAATTCTTTATTGTTGAAAGTATTACATATGT